ACTGGTACAGATAGGAACTGGAAACACAGGGAATCCAGGACAGATGTTCCCTTCAGGACCAGTGGTGAGAAGGTGATACTAGGAGGGTGGAGGGAGGGAGGGGTGGAAAGGGGGAACCAATTACAAGGATCTACACATAACCTCCTGCCTGGGGGATGGACAACAGAAAAGTGGGTGAAAGGAGACATTGGACAGCGTAAGATATGACAAAAGTAATGACTTCTAAATTATCAAGGGTTCATGAGGGAGGGGGGAGCAGGGAAGGAGGGAGCAAAATGAGGAGCTGATGCCAAGGGCTTAAGTGGAAAGCAAATGTTTTGAGAATGATGAGGGTAATGAACATACAAATGTGCTTTACACAATTGATGTATGTATGGATTGTGATAAGAGCCCCCAATAAAATGATTAAAGTAAAAAAGCAAAAAAAAATTGATCTGCTCTGTAACCCTTCACTCAATTAACCATGAAAAGTTGCAAACAACTACACTGGACTAGAAAGTTTTGTGTAAATTCTTTTTCTTTACAGATTATTACCAAGCATTGCAAAATGAAAAGATACTCAATTTTAAAAATGAAACTAGCCATTTTTTTTATATTAAGGCTTGACAGAGATAACTAGAAAAAGAAATTTATAAGCTAGGTTTAATTCATGATTATAAAATGAAAATGAAATAAAATACAATATGTCAACTTTCCAGTATGTTGTAATCAAGTAGGATTCATTCTACAAAATGCAAGACTAATATTAAGAAAAATTTAAGTATATTATGTCAAAATATCCTATAAGAAAAAACAATATAATCCTCAAGAGAGAAGAATTTGAGAAAAGTCAGCAACCATTTCCGATTTGGAAACCAGTCTTAATTGACTAAGACTAGAAAGGTATTTCTCTAGTCAAATATAGGTATCTAGGTTTCTATTCTGATAGCTTATTTGGTTCAAAGGGCAAAAGCATATACCATATATCGTCAGCTTTTTCAATGTGTGACTGAAAAATAGACTTTTGAAAAATACCTGAAATGGTATGGCACAGAAATATAATAACATACTCCCAGTTACTTCTGGAAGTTTCTCAAGATACTGTTTTTTATGTACTGCAGATCACATTCCTTCAGTCTCTTAGCTCAGGTCCTTCCAGTTTGCTCTCATACAGCTGCCTGGTTAGCTAGATTGCCGGGGACACTTGTAGGCTCTATGAAAAATAGCACCCATTAATTCCTATGGATTGCAACTTAATGTAGAGAAAACCAAAATTCTCACACCTGGCTCGATAGATAACATTATGATAAATGGAGAAAACATTGAAATTGTCAACTATTACATTTTGTTAGGATCCACAGTCAATGCTCATGGAAATATTAGTCAAAAAATCACATGGTATATTACATTGGGCAAATCTGTTGGACAGACTTCTTTAAAGTGTGAAAGAGCCAACACATCATTTTGAGGACTAAGGTGCGCCTGACCCAAGCCATGATATTTTCAGTTGCCTCATCTGCATAGGAAAGTTGGGCAATGACTAAGGAAGACTGCAGAAGGATCAAAGCATTTAATTATGGTGTTGGTAAGGCATACTTAACGTATCATGGACTGCCGGAAGAACAAGTATAACCAGAATGTGCCTAAGAAGTGATGATGGTGAGACTTCCTTTCATATGTTTTAGACATGCCAGGAGAGAGCAGTCCCTGGAAAAGGATATCATGCTTGGTGCAGTAGGGGGGCATGGGAAGAAAGGCAGACCTTTCACAAGATGGATTGACACAGGGGCTGCAGCAGTGGGCTCAAGCATAACAATTGTGTTTCATTCTGTTGGACAGAGGGTCATTATGGATGAGAACCAACTGGAAGATACCTAATAACAGCAAGTAGTTCCTATTTTAGCTATGAGACTATAAAAATGATTTTTCTAATACTATGTTTGAGCTTTTAGCATTAAGTAGTTTTATAAAATTAGATGATCTACTCTTTTGAAATGCATAATAGGACATACAATTAATAAGTAAGATAAAGTTTAAATTTTGAAACCATAGTAATGCATATTTTAAACCAGTATTCTAAAATCTTTTTTGACTACAACTCACAATATGAAATACAATTTACATTGTGACTAATCACATACATACACATTATATATATGTGTGTTTATATATACTTATATAATTAAAATAAGTTTCATGAATTTAGCAAAGATCTATGTAAAATGCTCTGATGTTATGTATTCTACTTTATTTTAAAAATTGATTTCAATCCATTAAATTGATTTCATACCTAAACACTACAGTTTTGTAAAACTGTAAAACACCATGCTTTTCAACCCCTTTATAACCCTGACAGGGTGATTCTTTTAATTGTAAGGTAAATAAGATATCTGGAGTTTAAGAATTTAAATTTGAAAGATGAGAATCCATGGTTTTTAGAAAAGATATATCCAACTTTATTGTTTTATTATTGTTATTTGTTAACTTTTCATGCCTTGGCAGCGTGCTTTCAGTGCTAATTGTTACATTTTCTGTTTCTAGGCGGACAGTAGGATAGAAAGAGCATATTCTAAATGGCGATTGCTTTTATTTTTGCAGCTCTCATGTGTGATGATGAGTCTTGTGCATCTTTAACCGAAGGACCTCACCAGTTGAAAGTTACTGTTTTTGCCATCAACTTTCCATTTTAGGCTGGCTCTCTTCCTCAAATAGTGGCTCTCTTTTCAAGTTGCATTGCTACAAAATTTAGCAAATGGCTGATAGCAGTGATTCGGATAAAAAATCCACGAATTGCCCCAAATGCTCGTCAAATACTCAGAAAAATTTGCTTGGTGTATGTTCATGTAAAAAAAGGGTTTCGCAAGCTTTGCTGGCACAAGCATCACCAACAGAAAGCACTAGTAATTTAGAAGCACCGACGTCATCAGAGAGAAGAAAAGGAAAACCGACTGGCAAAGACGCCCCCTCTGGGAAAGATTCGGTAAATATTGAGGGTTCTACGCGTCAGCACACATTGACATCGCATTCCTTAACCCCATTGCTAGCTTTATCCTTATCCTAGGGGTCCTTCTGCTGATGAACTGTGAAAGGAATATCTATTTCTTTCTAGTAGTAGAGATGAGAAAAATGGAATAGTAACCTCTTTTATGAACATCTTCAAATATTTCCCAATTATTTCTGAGTATTTTTGTTTTAGACAGATACGAGCAGCCCTGATTAAGTAGTGGATTCTACCTCTGGCTATTAATTGCCAAGTCAACAGTTTGAATCACCAGCTACTTTGCGGGAGAAGGAGGAGGATTTCTACTCCTCAGAGATTCCGTTTTAGAAACCTACGGGGTGGCTCTGCTCTGTCCTTCAGGGTCATTCTGGGTCAGAATTCACTCAGTGGCAATGAGTTTGGTTGAGTATACAGATATATGGTGGATTGTTTTTCAAATTGAATTAAATCTGAATTTTTGAGCATTTTCTTCAACTGGCATGGAATAAAATTTATGCTTGTGGTTTAATATAAAGTGGTTGTGATTTTAATATTTAAGATAACTCTTGTCTAGTTGCAATATCAAATATATTTCACAAAATGATTTGTATTAGTTGTACCCAATTAGGCCATTTAGATATAGCTCCCTTTATAAAGGGAGTTTCTATAGTCAGTAGAGTACAACATTGGAGGAAAAGAGCCGTAAGTTCTTGAAAAGCTAGGCTCTCTCCTCTCAGAGTTGTATTTATTCCTGCCATTATTTCCGTGTTTTACTACTTGTGATACAGTTATTGCCATATAGGTGTTGTTGAGTGGGTTGGTCCTATACTGTTTTTGTTAGAAGCATATTTTGTGAATGTCTGACCAATACTTTTAGTCTGAGAAGCTTATTCTTCAAGTATTATCTCTTAAAAAAGTGTTTCACTGTGGTTTGGGTGAAAGTTTACCGAGCAGATTAGTTTCCCTTTCAATAATTCATACATTTTATTTTATGACAGAGTTGCAACTCCCTCAATGTGATGGCACTTTTTACACATCCCTCCTGGGCTCCCTATTTCCCATCGACCTTCTTCCCTGCCCGTTCCTGCTTTCTAAACTTTGCTCTTGGACAAACTTTGACCCTTTTGTCTCATATGAGACATTGTTCTGAGATGTACATTCTAGATGGGTATTATTGTTTACTTACTTGATAGGCTTGATTGTTGAAAGGCGACTGCTGCTAGCGGGCTCAGTTCCAGGCTTGAAGGGTGTCTAAATGTGATTCTACCATCCCTGTTAGACCAGTAAGACTGGCTATTATGTGATTGTGAATTTTGTTTCACATTTTCTCCTCGCTCTGTCTAGGGCCTACTACTGTGACCCTGAACAGAGGGGTCAGTAATGGTAGTCTAACGCCATCTAGTTTTTCTGATCTTAGGATAGTGGAGGCTGAAGTTCTTATGATTCATTAGCCGTTTGGACTAATTGTTTCTTCAGGTCTTTGATTTTCTTCACTTATTTTTGCTCTGGTTGGGTAAAGGCCCAGGGCCATATCTGGATGGCTGCTTGAAGCCTCAGTTCTTACTCATCTAGGTTCTGACCAATGCATTCTTATGTATAATTAACCTCAGGTACTTGTTATATTTTGGAGCAAGTAGGCTGCACTAGCCGTTTTAAAGAATTGGATAAGTTCTGTATCTGATGTGCAGGTTGTCATGTAGACATGTAGGATTCAGGGTACTGGATTGGGTGACTTCTTAAGGTCTTTCTTAGCCTCATGATTTACTAAATTATATAGAGTTTAGACTTTGAATAAAGATAGTAAACTATCTTGTGTACAACAAATATGCTATATATAAAATATCAATCAGATTATCTTAACTTAGGGATTTTATTTTGTCAACAAGAATATTTTATTTTAAAGTTAATCTTTTTTATTCCTTTTTGATCCTCAAGGTGTCAAAACCCTCAAGTACTGAGAGAAAAACATCTCAACAATGGGGCCGGGGTAATTTCACAGAAGGCAAAGTTCCTCACATAAGGATGGATGATGGAGCAGCTATTCAGGTATACGTAAAGCACACGGATATTGTTCTTGTTAGCTACTAGAAACCTTCAGGTTTCTTCTAGCTAAATGGTCAATGGAAAAAATTATTTTAAAATTAAATCTCTAAGGAAAGGCAGGAAAGAACATTAAGAGGGAATTTGTCATTTTTAAATATGTCTAAATGTTTTTACTAAAAATAATGAATACTAAGTATTTCCTCTCTTCTTTGAGGGCCAAATGGACATATTAAAGTAGAAGGCCTTTGCAGTGGATAAATGGAGACCATTTTGGTCTTTAGATCTTGGCTGTCTGAGCGCATTCATGGTCATTGTGTGGACCTCTTGAACATGCAGAGAAAGACCGGATTAGAATTTCTTTTAAAACCAAAATTTGTTTCTTTAACATCAACTGAGCTGCAACAAGAATAAGTGATTTTTGCTTTTCAATTCCATTATGTTCAATTCTTTAATTTTTGCTATAAGAGATTTGTTTTGTGTGCTACCCTCTAGTATTGGTTTCTGGGTAGTGTCAGGTCCTGTACGGTGCTCTCAGATCTGTTTATTGTTGTTGATTCTCTGGTCATAGTGATCCTGTAATACATTTCTGTAATGCTGGTCATGTTTTAGGAGTTCTTTTACTTTTTCCTTGTCTGGAAATACCTGTATTTGAGGAATAATTTTGCTGGATATGGGATTCTTATTTGGCAGCTTTTTTTGGTTTGTTTGTTTTAGCAGAAATGTGTTGTTTTAATTGGGGACTCTTACAGCTCTTATTACAATCCATACATCCATTCATTGTGTCAAGCACTTCTGTATGTATGTTGCCATCATCATTTTCAAACCTTTTTTTTTTCTACTTGAGCCCTTGGTATCAGCTCCTCGTTTTGTTCTTTCCCTCCCTTCTACTCTCCTCTTCATTCACACGAACCTTTGATAATTTATAAATTTTTTTTCATGTCTTACACCAACTGCTGTATCCCTTCACTCACTTTTCTGTTGTCTGTCCCCCTGGGAGGGGGCCATACATCGATCATTGTGATCGGTTCCCCTTTACTAACCCCCCGTCCTTCGCTTACCCTTCTAGTATTGCTACTTCCATTATTGGTCCTGAGGGGTTTATCAAGCCTGGATTCCCTGTGTTGTGAGCTCTTATCTGCGCCAGTGTACATGTTCTGGTCTAGCCAGATTTGTAAGGTAGAATTGGGGTCAAAATAGGAGGGATTGGGGAGGGAACATTTCAAAGAAGTAGAGGAAAGTTGTGTATTTTGTCAGTGCTGTACTGAACCCTACTGGCTCATCTCTTCCTTGTGGCCCTTCTGACAGGGGGTGTCCAACTGATTACTGATGGGCTTGGGTCTCCATTCTACCCTCCCCTTCATTCACATTGATATGATTTTTGTGTTTGTTTTGGGCCTTTGATGCCTGATTCCTGATCCCATTGACACCTCATGATCACACAGGCTGGTGTGCTTCGTCCATGTGGACTTTGTTGCTTCTCAGCTAGATGGCTGCTTGTTTATCTTCAAGTCTTTTAAGACCCCAGCTGTTATGTCTTTTGATAGCTGGTCCCATCAGCTTTCTTCAACACATTTGCTTATGCACCCATTTTGTCTTCAGAGATCATGTCAGGGAAGGTGATCATGTCATGTCAGGGAAGGTGAGCATCACAGAGTGCCGGGTTAGTAGAAGGAAGTGTTCTTGCGTTGAGGGAGTACTTGAGGGGAGGCCCAATGTTATTTGACGGTTTTTTCCCTTTCAACATTTGGTATATGTTACTCCATTGTCTTCTTGCATAGTGTCTGCAGAGAAGTCCCAGCTTTTCCCTAGTGGTTTTCCTTTGAGGGTGACCCCCCCCCCCCATATGCCCTCTGGAGCCTCTCCTTTTCCTTGAAATTGGAGAGTTTGACTGTGATGTGTTGTGATGTTTTCCTTCTAGAACCTAACCTATTTGGCGTTCTCTCAGCTTCTTGAATAGATATTTTTTTCCTCCTTGGGATAATTGGGACATTTTCATCTATGAGTTCTTGTACTAGTTTTCTGTGTAGATTAAAAATTTTTCTTCCTCTGATATGCCTTCTTCCTTGCTGAGATGCCAGTTGTTTCTCCTGAGAGTGATCCACATCATTTGCAGGTTTTCTTCAGATTACTTTGCTTTTTTTGTTGATTGTTTCTCTCATCAGTTATAGTCAGAGTGATTGTCTTCAAGACAACGGATTGTGAGAGAGATTTGGAGCGATTAGGGAAGCTTTATTAGCAATTTTGGTTTGGAAAGCTTAAATACTCCCTTGAAATAAATGGCTTGCAGTTTAAAAACAAACCCAAACCAAACAATATTCCTAGCTCCAAAAAGTTAAAACTCTACAAACTTCTAAATTTACCCATGAGTACTTTTATATGGAAAGCAAAATAGACTTATGTAAAAAATAAGGAAAATTATAGATAGAAAAGAAGAAAATAATGATCACTAGCTATAGCCACTTTTACCATTTTTTACTTTTCTTTCATTTTTCCTATGCAGGTATAAGTTTTATCCTATTTTTCTTAATTTTACCTGTTTTAAATTATGAACTATCTCAGACATATACTTTCTTTAAAGAAATAGCCTAGGTATATTATAGCTGAAATTGAAGCTTATCTTCTTTTATAAAATGAACAAGCTCATTATAAATTTTTTTTTAACAATTCAGAAGATAATAAAAGGATATTATAATCATCTGAAATTCTACTCAGATTTATATTAATATTATATTAATTATATTATTTACATATAACATAATGGGGTATTATAGCTTCCTCTTAAAATTACTAGAAACAGTGTTTTTATTCTTATTTTTACTACTCTATGATATCAAGTCAATTAGTTAAACAAAAAATATTAAGTGAACAATTGGAATATTCCTTCACTTCTTCCTTGTTTTAAAAATTCTATTGAAATGAATTTTACCCATGTTTTCTACTGATCCTCATCTCATGAGCTGTCTCTTCCATGCCTTTTCCTTGTCTTTCCAGTACCAGGGATCTTCCAGGTGCACAGGGAGTGATGAGCCGGGCTGCTAGTGCAGACCAACAGTTGGTGTCCACTGGATGCCCTGTGGGAGACAGATGAGGTCTCTGCTCCTATAAAGATGGACAGTTTTGGAATTCCCCAGGGGATATTCTGTTCTGTCTTATAGAATGTCTAGAGTCAGAATTGACAGTGGTGGGGAGTTTTCGGAGAGGGCGCTTCAAAAATTTTGTGGAAAAATTCAGTTTTATTTATTTTCTGAAGTCATCTTGTATTAACTCTAATAGCATATTGTATTTTTTCCAGAACTTAAGACTTTACAAAATATGTGATAATTTTTTTCTTTTAGTAGATGATACATTTTGAGAAAAAAAGAATTATATTTTATTCATTTTTATAGCTGGTCTCGTGCAGTGAAGGTGAACATTTTCTCCAGCCCCCATCCCTGTGATTTACCATGCAAACCTATTTTGCCTACAAACAACTCCTTAAGGAACTTGTTGATCATAAGTTCCCCAAATTATTAGGACTCTTTTTCAGAAAAAAAATTACTCAGCATCCCCTGGAATTTAAAACATTTGTACTACAGCCAATAATCCAGGATAAAATGTATGTGCCTAATTTTGTAGCCCCCCGGTCACTCCAAAGACTGACTTTGGGAAACACTGTAATAAGACCAGCTTGAGGTAGAGAAAGAGAAAAAAAAAATAAGAAAAACTACTTGTAAGTAAACAAGTACTAATTTTGTTTGAGGACTAATGCATATATATTTAAGTAATTTAAACAAAATGAACAGTCACCATGGTGATTGGATGAAAGGGGCGGCAAGTACTTAGGGAGAAAAATGAATATGATCAGTAGGCAGTAGGGAGAGTAACAGCTAAATTACCTGTTGCTTGGGAGGGTAGAATTGGGTCCATGGTGATGGAGTAACACCTGCAGTGTAGACTTTGGCTAGCTGACTCAATAGAAGCTTCACCCAGGGGCATTACCTCAGCCCTTCTTCTGTTTCCTGGTCTCCATGCTCACTGGTCTAGAAACTCATATCTTCTTTGTGCTCTGGATTTGATTTGTATCATGGAGACTGGCTGTCCCCAACCAAATTCACAAGAAATGAAAGTGTAAATGAATTACCTGTTCATTGTCTGACAATATGAACTAGGATGAATGTGTTGGCAAAATCGATGCATTCTCTCTTTGTAAGCAAACGTTAAAGGATAAGGAGAAATATTCTCTGTCTGGATTGCAGTATTATTGGTGATTTTAATTTTCTCTCAGTGCTGATCCATGTATTATAATTTTGTCATATATATTGCTTCTTCTAAAAAGGAATACGTGGTTTTTAATATAAACAATGAAGGAAAAGAAAAAGAACATGACTTGGCAAGTAGGGAAGCACTTGCTCAATGGTTAATAGGTGTTGGTTTTAAAGAAAAGCTCAGAGTTTTAAAAATAATTTTGGGGTAATGTATTGTGGATATAAATATTTCATCCTAGCCTTTTCTTATAAAGATTTTTCATTCACATTGTAGTTAGAAATAAATTTATTATTATATTTTCAAACTTTTGCGTATTTCTTCAGTAGAATCTTTTATGATTTCTTTCTAAATATATTTATAATATTATCAATAAAAATAAAACTCATTATTGGTATATTGTATATTGATTAATATTGAAGCAAATATGTAGTGTCTTCTATTTGGTTTTACCTTGGAGCAGAATCTTTCTCCCCTGGAGCTGATATCTGACAGTATTATGTGTTCATTTTTAATATCTTATGAATGACAAATGGACTTTCATTTTTCTCTAGGAGTTCTATACCTTTGGAAGAATATTGGGACAAGGGAGCTTTGGAATGGTCACTGAAGCGACAGACAAGGAAACGGGAACTAAGTGGGCAATTAAAAAAGTGAATAAAGAGAAGGTATGGCTTTTTAGCAGCATCATCCTAGGGGCACCGTGCAGTACATTGTGGGGTGGGGACGTGGAGTAGTGAAGCATTTGAGGGTACGCAGTACTGCTTTTCATAAAATTAGAAGCAGCCTCTGAACCTGAGGGCCAGGTCTTGGTCATTTGCCTGGAGAATTATGGGCATTTCTCTAGCCTTCTAGGAAAGAAAGGGTCAGTTCTTGAACTGAAGTGGACAAATGTTACCTGGAAAACGAAATGGAAGGGTTAGCCAATATGTATAACCAAATACTGGTAGATCCCCAGCAAGTTGAAGATAAGGACTGTTGGTACAGGTGAAGGATGGGGCTAAAGATAGCTCAGCCCTGGCACTCTCTCCCATGGCGTTCTTTACATGAGGTTGCCATGCATCAGAAATGACCGGATGACAACATCCTTTCCTTTCATTGGATCACCTGTGTCCGTACTGTTTTGCCTATTCTTTTTTATTAATGCTGCCTGATCTTTCCGTTTTAATCACATTTACCCCCAGTGATTTTCTGTACTGTTTGCTTGTATACATTATATCCCTCTCTGAATTTCCTCTTGGAGTAGAAAATGACTACGCTTCTGGTAGAATCTAAGTTACTCACGTCTGATCTATACCTGATCATTTCATAAGCTCTTCTTAAAATTTCTGTGCTGGGGAAAAAAACCCCAAATGGCAACATATTGATGTTCTTTCTTTGCATTTGTGATAATTATTACATTTATAAAATGAAATAGCTCTTACTGTATTCTTTAAAACAAACTCTACAAATTATATACCATCTCTCTAAAGTTTGATAAAAGAACACATGTCAATAAAGGGAGACCCAGAAACCTTTGTTAAGATTTTTTAGAACTATAGAACCATCATGCCACCTGCACTATTATTTATTTTGCCTCTTTGGTATCAGGAAAAGTTAGGAGTTAAGTTTTAGAGTTATAAAGTCAGGGCACCTCTTTGCACTTCAGTAATTAATAATCTTCTACACACATTGATTTTGAGAATTTTCATGGTACTACAATAATAGAATAAATTTAAGTAGTAAATAATATGAATTGCTAACATCATGGTTACATTATATGCAAGTCAAGACATCTGGGAGAAGGGAAGAACAGAGTTGAGGTAGGAATTAGGAGAAATATGGGAGCGTCCCGTATTTGGATGTACAAGAACTCAATCCTCACAAGCACTGTTTCTCTAGTCCCTTAAGATGGGACTTTTACCCGAGGTGGGGCATAGTGGGATGAACAATGTACCATTCATTCTTACCCTGGTAATGGTTGCAGCGTAATGGTAACTGGAAACAACGAAATGACCCTAAGTAAAATTTTGACCAGGTAAAAGTTATCTTATGATCAATCCATCTTTGTACTTAAAAAAAAATCATTCTATTAGGGGCTCATGCAGCTTTTATCACAATGCATCCATGCATCCATTGTGTCAAGCACCTTGGTACATATGCTGTCGTCATCATTTTCAAAACATTTTCTTTCTACTTGAGCCCTTGGTATCAGCTCCTCATCTCCCCTCCCCCACCCACCATCTTTGTCTTTTTAAGAACTAGTATGTACTCTTCAAAACTTTCCATACTGGGGAACTAGGGTCTTTCTTATTTCTTTCAGGGATAATTTAATGTGCAAATTAAACCCTCAAATGATGGCAGTTCAGGTACCAATAGGAGAATTGCAGTGGTGATGAGGGTAGAGAAAACCCTGTGAAGACTTCTTCGATGGCATTGCAAATAATTCACTCCCTACCTCCTGCATAGAGGCCGTGCCTCCTGAGCTGATGTCTCTGTTGCAGTCTCGGTCGCTCTCTCAGTGGTCGAGTGACAGAAAGCAAGGCTGAGTGTAAGGTCTTGCTGCTCATAGTTTCTTTTGTACGTTGCCTGTACATATCAAATCCAAACAACAAAAGAACAAGGGAAAAACAAACACCTTGATTTTCTCTTTTCTTATTGATAGCCTTGGCAATAGATTTTTGTTGTTATTATGCTAGCATCACAGGGTCAACATATTCTGTAGGAAATATTATACAATTGATGTATGTATGGATTGTGATGAGTTGTATGAGCCCCCAATAAAATGACTTTAAAAAAAGAGTATATTAAATATTAGACTAATTTTATAAGGGGTAGTTACTATGTTAGAGATAATTTCTAGAATATCCCAAGAAATAGAAGCCAAATCATACATAATTTACAATTGGATAAAGGAAGGAAAAGGCACAATTTAATCTGATTATAAGAATAAGTTCACGTTACTATTTCAAAAGGAAACTAAGACAGCACGGGCAACACCAGCTTTTCTCTTGGCGACTTGAGGTGACATTCCTGTGTGCAATCTGTGTTTTCTCGTTAACTAAGGCTGGAAGTTCTGCTGTGAAGTTACTTGAACGAGAGGTGAACATCCTAAAAAGTGTGAAGCACGAACACATCATACATCTGGAACAAGTGTTCGAGACCCCGAAGGTAAAGCTCTATCAGGTGCTGCGTTCTGAACATTGTGATTATTACAAAATGAACATTGTTTCATTCTGAAATGGTCCCTTGGGGGAAGACTTGCTCACCTCCTTGGTCTGAGTGTCACTGAAGAGTGAGGAGTGAATTCTGGAGGACTTTCAGTATTGATTGTATAATTAGGCTTCTGATGATTAGATTAACATCTCTAGTGATATCTCTGGATGGCATGTTGAAAACAAATGTTAAGGGTTGAAACAACTGCAGACACGTTCAGGTGGTGATTAGCGCTTCCTTAGAGGTGGCTTTGTCTTTCATTTCTGCATTAGTTTCTCTTAGAATGTCATAATTTTGCAATATTAGCTCCATAGTCAAATTACCATAGGTATATTAGGCACCGTGGAGAAGATATATTGTCATTTTGTTTTAAAAATATGTTTCATCTTCTTTCTTGCCTAGAGGTTTTAATTCTTCTTTAAATACCTGGAATTTTCATTTAGAGTTGTCCAGAAAACTAAGTTACTTAGCATTGTGCCTCCTGATTGTTCAGTGCCTTTTTCTGCTTGGAGGCTGTGCAGTGTAGTGCTTAGGCATGTAGACTCTGGAGTTAGATTGCCTGTGGAATTGAATCTGGGCTCTCCTGTTTATTTGCGATGAGCCCCTGGACAAGGTAATGGAGCTTTCCATACCTCAGTTTTCTCACCTGTAAACTAGGCTTCATGACACTATCCAGGTCATTTTGTGGTTAACCAATTAAATATGATGATGAGCACAAAGTGCAGCCTGGCTAAAGGCTGCTGTTGCTGGCTGTTCCCTTTCCCAGTCTGAAAAAGAGCAATAGTCCATGCGGGTTGTGCGTCATGCTTCCTAAGCATTCCAGACTCTGTGCACCTGCCTAGGAGGAGTGCGTGGCAACGCTGCCAGAAGTCTTTCCTGCATGTTCAGCCTTCACTTCAAATCTAGAGTAGTTTCCATCTTTGTCATCAGTTTGAAATCATCTGATTAGTTTGTGGCCTCTTCCTGGAGTCACTGGGAAGTTTAGCTTAGCAGTTGCTCGCAGACTCCCTGTGCCTCCCAGGCTCTCTTCTCTACAACTGGGGTAAGCCAACTACAGCTGCTCAGCCAGAGCGGGGCTGCTGCCTGATGTTTGTGTGGCCCAAAGGTTCTATTTAACCTTTTTAAGGGCTTGAAAATATTTAAGGGCTTGAAAATATTTTTAAAAGATTATTTTGATATGTGGAAATTACATGCAACTTCTATTTCAGTCTGTAAGTAAAGGTTGTGTTGAAGCTTAGTTACAATAATTTATTTCTTGTTTATGGTTGTGTTTGCACTATCACAGAAGGATTGGTTTGTTATGACAGGGACAGCCTGGCTGGCATGGCTGCAAATATTTAGTAAACTGGTACTAAACAGGAAAAGTTTGCTGACCACTGCTCTGCCCCACTGTTAGTATTCATTCAGAAGTACAAAATTGGTAACATCACACGCTTCTCTTAGCTTTAACATTTCCAGTGGCTCTTTGTTTGCTTGGGGGAGGTGGTGAATTTAATAATATGATATCCATGAATCTACAACCTGACACCAACTTAGGCTTTCTAGCTTTGGAGTCTTTACAAGTACCATGTTCTCTTTCTCATATTATCTACCCAAAAATCCCTGTTCAGACATCCAGACATGGCTTCAATGTCACCTCTTTAGAGAGCATTTCTCAGAAAGGCGGAGGCTACCCCTTCTCTGCAGCTCCAAGTATTTTGGGCTTGCCTCTTTTATTAGCACTTATCATATGATATTGTAATCACCAGTATACTGTGAACTCTTTGAAAGCAAAGTCTATGTGTTATTTGTTCCTCTCGTATCCAACAGGGTATCTTGCATTAAACAAACAAGAAATAGGATGAGTGAGTATATCAGTGATCAAAATTGTGATAAGATTTCCACTATGCACCAGGCCTTGAGGATGATGATCCCAATTAGAACAGCTAGTCCACAGAGAGGACCACATGGCCAGCCTCACTATGAGACATGATGTCCCTCACTGACCCATGACCCTGCGGGGGACAGCACCGGAGACACAGTGTGGGAATTGCACCCGATCTGATCCTGCCACACTGAGGCAAAGCCCTTGGTG